AAGGCTGAATCAGAGAAGGGAAAAAAAATACTCGTGGGAGTTGTCAGGCTCTGATACCATATGAAGTAACAGGTTTAGAGTGGTTGAAAAGGCTTGACTTTCTCATTAATCACAAAGGTATTTAAAGATGATTACAAGCACTAACCAAGGAGAGAAATATGCTACAGTTACAACAATAACTTGACTACCTAAAATACACGCACTAATCAAGGAGAGAAATATGCTACAGTTGCAACAATAACTTGACTACCTAAAATACGCAATATTTGAATTTTGAAATATATATACATGGAACTAAATTAATATTATTTATGTATTGTTAATAAAGCGCTTACCAAGATTAAGTGTTTGGTAAACAACACCTTAACCATTTCAGAAAGCATAAAGCTTTTTAAATTAGACTCGGACATAGCTTTTTCAGAAAGCAAGTAGCTTTCTGAACATTTCTTGTATGTAACACAAAGGACAAACCGTTTTCTGATTAGGGGATTGCCCCTTGAAAACGGTTTGCCCCTTCTGCCTGCTAGGGGGGCAACCCCCTTGACCCTGCCATACGACAACATCATTAAATCTTCCAATTATAATTATAATTGCAGGCAAATAGGATTAGAAGCCTTAAAACTTCCATTTGATATGAAGGAAAAAAAGAATTCATTGTAATTTTCATGAACCAAACTGGAAAACAAGAATCCGACACTCAGTCAGGATCATTACAAACAAACATCAGGAAGTTGGTATAACACTGAAACAACAAACCAGAAGCCTATGTCAACTACAATTGGTATCTATGTACATTCATTCTTCCCAATCACTTGCATTAACTGGCTACCTACATTCAGAGCCACCATGGCTTTTCGCTTAAATCTTTTGAGAATACGTACCGGAATCTTGAATTATAAGGCAACCATTCGATCATCTGGGATGATTTCTTGCTGGTTTTATGCTCGATGCATTTCGTTATTGAATCGCCAAGCTTTTTGTCTACATTTTCGGTTATCCATTTGAGGAGATTGTCTGGAGAGATGTTGGTTTCTTTTCCAAATCTTTCGAGTAATTTGGGTATGAAAAGTTTCTTCGATTTCTTCACGATTATGTTTGATTGAAGAAATTCTCTCTTGGCTGCTTCTAGCTCCTCTTTGATGTTTGATGGTGTGTAGACCTTCAGCTGCCAAAAAGGATCCACATGTGATTAGATTTTGACCATTTCTCCTCAATATATGTTGGAACATACCTTCTTTTTTTAAGGGCTCTTGTGGAGAGTAATCTAATGGGTTTCCATATATTCTCACGTGGTATCAGAGCCAAGGTCTACCACTCTACGGACTCGACACTCTGGGGCAATCTATACCCGTCTAGCCCCCTCTCAACACTCTGGATATAATCTATGCCCGTCTAGCCTCCATTGGAGGGGGCATGTTTGGAGTCTCACATCGGCTAGACTTAGACTATTTCTCCTCTTTTGTTCTTTGGGAGAGTAATCTAATGGGGTTCCACATGTACTATAACATCCCTTTATCAATTTTTCACACAAGTAAGAACGTAGATGATAGAAACAAAGGAAAGATATAAAAGAATCAGAAACTTACCACAGGATCAGATGAAGTTCCTGTGCAAAGGGCAAAACACAAAAGGGGTTGGTACTCGAGACCAAACTTTGTACTGATCCGCTGCCTTTCTTCACCAGATTTTTTCCACAATGCAGTTGAAAGGATGGTCTCCAGCCACTAGTATTAATTCATATAAAACCAAAATTAATGTAAAAAATTTCATAACACACAGAACTTGGAAAAATTCCCATTTATCAAACGATGGTTGCTCTGAATCTATTTACCATAGTGTACATGATGCAGGGATTAGTGTGTTAATCAAGCATCATCAGTGGTGGATCCAGGAAATTAATGTGGTGGGGCACGTTGGATGGGACTTGGGGGAGGGAAGCATATGGCCATATGGGATTGAAGGAAACCATGTAAGACGAAGGTGAAAATAGAAAATTTAAGCTAGTCAACAAAGGTTTATGGTTTTTGACTGGGAGCCTTTCCTCTCCCCGTGCTTAAAGGCTGGATCCGCACCTGAGCATCATAAGAGCCACAAAACAATGGCAGATGAATAATGAATTGTTTGTCAAATACATGTTAAGAACGAGCAACGTGTGCTAACCCTTTTGGTGGCAATGTTCTCAAACCCGTTAGTTACATACTCTAGAATTTCCTTGGAGTCATCCCATGAAAATAGTAACATTTCCTCTTTCCATAAGTTTCCAATTAAAGTTACATGTTTATAATTATAGGGAGTTAGTAATAGCCCAGGGGGTGTCCCTTGTCCCCCTTCTATTGTCCCCAGGCAATGAAGAAAATATCAGGGGTCTTAAAGTCCATGTGATTTAATTTGATGTGTCCTTCCTAAGTTAACAAATGATATTTTTTTTATATACATGGGGGCCCTTTAATCAAGAAAAAAAATATTAAAACAAGATTTTTTTTTTTGAAAAAGACAGAAAAATAAAACCAATGCCAACACACAGGTGAAATAAGATCCCTTATGTTTCATTTGACATGCAGGAATAAAATGGATTTGTGGGGATTTGGATTTCAAATCCATTCCAATCCCATATTTGGTTTTTTGGATTGTCCGGATTTGAAATCCTACAAACATGTAGGGAATGTTGGAGATTTCACAGGATTTCGTAAAATAGTATGAAATAAGGTTTTAAAAAATTGCCAAAAACATTTGTTTGTTAATAATTGATTAATAAAAATATAATTTAATTATTTTTACAATTCTTTATATTTTTTTTTCTATAAATTATTTAAATAATAGAATTCAATTCCATACCAAATTCTACAAATCAAACAACCAATGATTTCAAATCTATTCCAATCCAAATCCCTCCATAAAATCAAAATCCCTAAAAAATAATCCTACAAACCAAACGGACCCATAGGCTTTTTTTCTTATATTTTGGTAACAGTAGCAGAAAAGTATGGAAAAACCACTTATATGTCATTATTAATTAAATCGTTACTTATTTTATATTATGTTATTTTGTGCCCCCTCTACATTTTTTCTGAATCCTCCTACTACTTAATTTAACCCATCATCATCATTATAAAACAAACTAATAATATTACCAACAATCTTTACCATGTCATTTTGCTAACACTGTCATTATGCTAACTGAGAATCTTTACCCGACAAGTGAGGTTAGAGCTTATTGGGTGAGAGACACTTATACCATGCTATTTTGATGACCGGAAATCTTACCCGGTATAAACAACCTCTTACTATATGTCTAGTATAGCAGCAGTGGATCAATCATATTCCAAGAACCAGAGTACTAAATCAAACAATTTGGTTGAGAATATATGGATCAATGAAAAAGAAGGTAGTACCTTTCCAACCCTGGGGGTGCGGAACTTAAATATTGCCTGCTCAATAGCATTTGCACTTATTACATGGCCACCGATTTTATAAGCAGCCTGCACTATACAGAGAGAAACCCACGTTATTGACAGATGAATTCGAGATAAAGCTTCGAAACTACCTTTTACTCAGAGAGAAGATATTTTCTATCTAAGTTTGGAYCACATAACATTTCTCCATAGATGTAGAATACGATGTTTTTCAACAAGGAAGTGCAGTACCTTGTGAAATAAGGCTAACCTTCTCAGAGAGTTGTGGGGAATCCCATATGCTAGATATGCCTGCATCACCAAAATCAAAATGGCTTGACAAAGGTGTGGGAAAATACCATAACCTACAACAAAATTGGGTTTATAGGACGCCAAAACTGTGTTAAGTGTCCTAAGAGTGTTTTACCGGACTTCAGGTTATAGGACCAAACCATTGTGTCCATCGTAAAGCATTAGCAACAAGTTTATAGGACGCTTTTAGACATCTTAACAAGTTTTTATGGACATTTTTGGAATATAACATCATATTAATTTTTTATATGACATAATTTGAAAAATGTCCCTATAAAAAGACATGTTCATAGGACACTTCTCAAAAGTATCATGTAATAAAATTAATAGGACACTTTATTTTGAAAGTGTCCCAAAAAACTTATTAAAACGTCCAAAAACGTCCTATAAACTTATTGCAACGCTTTTACGTAGCATATTGTGTTTGGTTCTATAAACGTAAGCCCTAAAATGCAGTCTATTAGAACACTTAGACACTTGGCATTCTATAAACTCGATTTTGTTGTAGTGATGATAGTGGATATGTGAACTTACATGCATAATCATGGAATTATACATATTGATCCAGAATGCAATCTGGGCATTTGTTTCCATTTGGCTCAAATTCAACCTCTCCAATTGTTCCACCAAAAGTCTGAATAAGGAAAATGTATACATGTTAACTCGATGTCAAACACATGTTGATGCTCCAAGTAATAAATCCATATACTGGAAATGAAAAGATTTCATGTTCGTGTTCTTATAGTAATTTTTACTACGTTATGCCTAAGGATTTACCTATAATTGTTTATGGCATAAGATGCACGGGAGAAGTTGTTCCTATCAGTTGATATCCAAGATATTTCAACCATTGATTCACACTCCTCCCCGATGGTGGATAATCTTCGCGATGAAGATGATTTCTTATGTTCCAAGTCTGTCGATGATGGACTGCAGAGCCAGCAGTATACAGCAGCCATAGATTTTACCATCTCTTCTGATAATCTGCTGGGGCACTGGTAAAGATGATCTTTTAAAGTTAGCTGTACCGAAGGTTTGCTTGTTGCTGACGGATTTCCCTTCTTCTTCTATTAGATACATGTGTTAGGTGGTTTATTATTTTGAAAAAAAGGGCAATAATGTGACACAATGAATATTAAACAGTATAAATCAGACCCTAAAAAGGTTAAGATAAAGTTGATACTTAATACACATTATAGCAGTCTTCTTTCTAAGTGAACTTCATTAAGGTCAAGACAAGTTATAGTTGAAATTGTCGGAGTCAAGCCGATATGGGACTCTAATAAACATATAAATAATTGTTCAGGGTGACCAAGTATAACCATAAAAGCACTATTCATACCTTAACATCATCTGAAGAAGTAGTTTCAAAACAATTGTTAGCTTTGCTACGGAATAGCGAAGGATGCCTCATCTTAGACTGCAATAAGTTTCCTTTGCCGGGGGTGTTCATGGTAGAAAGGGCATGAAAGTTCCGAAAAGGGAAGCTATTTGAAGAACAAAAGGTGCTCGAAATAATAGTGGGATGCTTCCTTGATTCCTTCTTTGCATGTGCAGGAGAAGTCAACAGTGAACTTTGTTGGGAAGATGGCCTACTAACACATTGTTCAAAAATGGTTCTGTATAGTGTGAGAACATGCTGCTCGCGGTTCACAACCTCTTCTTCAAGTAATTCAATCTCAGCAATCAACTCCTTTGTCTAAATGAACCAAACACACAGGTGAGAATTTCAAATACATTTGTAATTAACAACAGATAGATAGAAGGAAAGAAAAAGAAAAAGAAAACTATCGTGGCACCTTCTGAGTAATTTGTTAGTTATTTATTCATTTATTCTTGTAGCGGAAGGTTCAAATGAGAAGGCTAAATACGGTGAAAAAGTGCAAGAGAAGTTTCATATGTGTCATTGAAAAAATCCATCTGATGTGTGAACCCATATGAATAACGTGGGTTCACTTATGTATCTTCAAATGGATTTTTTTTGGATTTTCTCAATCGTTCACAGGAGGAACAACTGCTTTAGCTAAGATATGGAAACACGTTGAACAATTGAATATGACACAATCACCTGATTCGCGGAATGCCTATGCCCAGGGGATAAAGTGCTAGAAGTTCTGCCCAAAGCTCTCTCAAGCAACATCCGCACCGATTTCTCTTGTTGCAACCGCATTTGTAGTTGCTCAATCTGCACGTGCAACTCTTTCTATAATGCATTTGTAATTTAAATGTTTATTGTAGTTTATGCTCAGCCACATAATACGAAAAAGATAGCTAAAACATTACTAAGTCCGTTTCTTCAAGTTGCCACAGTTATCTTTTATAGCAAAAATAAGATAGTCTCCATTGCCTTTATGTGGATAGAAGATTCATTAAAAACATAAAAGGTGTGTTTGTCACAATTTATTGAACAATATCAGTTTAAACTCGATATAACAAAAGGTCAAATGGTTAAAACCACATTAATCTTATGCTTACATCCTTTTCCAATGAATTCCTTTGTTTTGATGCAACATCTGTATTGCTATTACTGGAAGACTTGTGAAGAGGAGAGTGTGGACTGATATGCCTCGTTTCAGAATGCAGTCCCTGTTTAGATTTTGAGGGTAAAATTAGTGTATGATTACTATCCATTCATAACTAAATAAAAGGTCAAGTAACCAAAGGGCCTTTGGCCTAGCGGTATGGGGTAACCCAACCTTCACGGACGTCAAGGGTTCCAACCTCACCAAAGTTAGATAGTGTCTCTGAGTTTCATTTGCCTGTATATAATATTATATACTTCAACCATAAGGTCAAGTAGCTGACCATATCTATGATGTAGAAAAGGAAGAATGAATCTGATTGATCGTAAAGGAAAAATGTAAGACCATCTTACTATTGATTTATTCCACTCCTCTCTAGGATGTGAAGCTCCACCTCTCGAGGCATGATTAATCCCAGAAGCACTGAAATGAATCAACAGAATGCATTACCGTTAGGACACAAAAGGGTCCTTTTTGTACAAAATAATCAGTAAAAGCAGCAATGGCCTACTCAGTCCCAACTAGATGAAGCATTATATGCCTTTTATCTGATATGCTCACGTATATCAAGCTCATGAATTATTATAAACTCTCTGATCTCTAAATAGAAAATATGACCACAACATAAAGGAATTCATAGCATAGAAGCATAAGGACTACGGCAGTAAATTCATTCTTCATTCCACAAAAGTGAAGAACACAGTGATAGATGCCAGAGAGCATAATATGCTTTAAATTCACAAATTCTTAATCAAGCCAACCTTGAACAACTGACGAAAAGGCCAATCAACACCATACAAATATAAAGCACAAGAGTAACAACTCAAGAAAAGAAAGAAAAGGGCAAACTAGAACCGTCTTGATATTATTGGGGGTCTAATTTCTAGTTTGTCTCTAATACTAATCCTTGGAATGTGGTTTCCCAATCTACTATCCATGGATCTGTGTTGACCTGTGTTGCTGTTAACCAAACAAAATACACACATGAAACTGCATCCCTAGTTGATCTACGATCTCAGGGAGCGATGGGTGAAATTTGCTTCTTACTGAGAACAAGCTCATCAAATCAGTACACGTTTGCCTTCAAGATTAATTTGAACAATGCTGAACTTGAATAGCTAAAGATGAAACCAACGGATTATGAAATACTAATACGACACTGAAAAGATAAGCCAAACATGATGAACAAGAAAAACAATGGTTGAAGGACACAATCTAGATGGAATTCACCTCTTAGAACGCTTGTGTTGTCCATGAAGATGTGCATGCTCATCATTACCAACATACTCCATTCTCATGTTCATTATTTTCAAGCAAATTCAAAGCATGTCTGACTCTTCTTTAATGTAACTAATAGAACGCCTTTGAATATGATGTATATATGTAATAGGGTGGAGCAACCAATAAGGTTACTCCCAGATAAAAAGATGGTCACCCACCACGAAAACCACTTCTTTTAAGTACTATATATATATATATATGTACATATACACACATACATATCTACACACATATATAGGGTAGATATATATGGAGCAAATCAAATAAGAACCATAAATAAGTTATAAACCTGTGAAAACCAATTTAAAAAATATTTTTTTACATGATTTTTTTTTCATTAAATGCTAGGCTTTAAAGTATTGTTTTACAAATATTTGTTTCATAATGCGATCGTTTCACATGTATTTGCACCATGTGAAACCTTTTTACGCATATTTTTCGTTTCACTAAGCGAACATAATAAATTTCACATGTACTTTTTTCACAAAGTCAACACAAACATATATGAAACAATACTTTAAATCATAGCTTTTGATGAAAAAATCATGTAAGAATATTTTATCGGTTTTCACGAGTTTGTAACCTTTTTGTGGTTCTCATTTGATTATCGTCTATATGCATAGATGGGTAAATCATATAGAAACCGTCTATAAGTTAAGTATTCATATAGTGTTGTTTCATAGATTAAACATCAAAGAATGTTTTGCATGTGAAAAAAACACAAAACTACGTTTATACATGAAACACATACTCATACTCACACACAAGATCAAACATCGTGAAACATTATGAATCATAATTTAAAATCAAACTCAATGGATAGTTTTGGTTGATTTTCACGGGTTTGGTTTTCATGGTTTATAACTTGTAGATGGTTTCTATATGATTTGCAATCTATATATACACACACGACAAATGAACTCATGCACCCTCCTCATCTTTTGTGAGGTTTGAACATTTGACCTCTTGGGAGGTTGGGCTGTATAGGTAACCTGATACTGCTAGGCCAAAGACCCTTCGATACATAAACGCATTTTGCACCACACCACATATACTATTATACTCTTATTTCATAAGTAATAGAATCGATGGTGTTTGACATGATTGTAAGTACGTAGGTATGTTTATATTTTCTTTACTTATTTGTATTTAATATCATCATTTGAAAAAGATATTCATAACAAGCTGAACCTTGGAATGGCAGATAGAAAGGCAAGCGGGTAGGGGTCCAGGGGATTGGAACCCATCATGGACGAAATAAATGAAAAGTTACTGCTTTGTGACAAACGTCAAAACACAAAAAATCGACATCTTTTCAAAATTCAAGTGCATACAACTCAAGGATCTTGGCATACAAGGATCATCCTTATTTAAAACCGTCATGAGTTCATTTCCTATACACCAATCCTGTAATGACAGACGTAAATAAAGTCTTATACTTATTCGTAAAACTTAAATTTTCTTGTTTGTATCAATCTTGCAATAAATTGTTTTTATGAATTCGTTGAGCAAGCATAATCAAGAGAGTAATACACATTTTCACTGCCCATGTCTCACAATTTCATAGCAAGTCGTATAAATCATCTATGCTTAATCATACATCCCGATGTTTGTATCTATAATTGAAAGTAAAGTGATGACATTGACCGCTGAAGGTTAATTTTCCAGAAAACAACAAAAGACGATATAAATGGCGTCAGATATAGGTGAAAAATGATAAACGTTGGGAGTATCAATTCAACGGAAACATATATTAAATTAGGTCTAGTAATCCCTATAATAATTTTGAATTGAATGATCAAGCGGCCAAATTTGCAATACGAATCAAACCAATTAGAGGAATATGAAAATCCTAACTCAGAGATTTTACCTGCAGCAGTGGTAGCTGATACAGAAACCGAATTGAATTCTGTCACCATTGAGTTGTTGAGAGCATTGAATGAGAGGATTTAATTCGTCTGGGCCTGCTTCACACGCGAATCGTATGTGTGTATATGCATACATATACATACATAAATATATATATATATATACACACACATTGGCGGCAGTTAGAGGAGTCTGTTTTGCGAAAATGGGAGAGGGTGTCTAACCATTTTAAGTAATAATTTAAATTATAATAAATAAAAATAAATTAATAAGAATAATAATGTAATCAGGTATTTTTTTTTATTATTATTTTTATGTTATCTATATCTATACTATATTATAAAACATTTGGCTAAAACTCTTAAAAACTCTTAAAACTCTTAAA